AGAGTGAGAGTAATAACACCAAATTTAACACATCTGCCCTCATTCACACCTGAGAGCTTGTAACACTAACAAGTCACATGACATCAGGGAGGGAGAATGTCTAATTAGGCCCAATTTGGACATTTTCACTTAGGGGCGTACTCACTTTTGTTGCCAGCGGTTTAGAAATTAATGGCTGTGTGTTGTGTTATTTTGAGGGGGCAGCAAATTAACACTATTATACAAGCTGTACACTCACTACTGTACATTGTAGCAAAGTGTCCAGGGTTGTCACATGAAAAAGATAGAATAAAATATTTTACAAAAATGTGAGGGGTGGATTTACTTCTGTGAGATACTGTGTATATGTATGTATATATATATATATATATATATATGTGTATATGTATATATATATATATATATATATATATATATATATATATATATATATGTATATATATATATTACACACAACATCTCTCACATGAAAAAACAGTGAAAGTAAACAATGACATAGTTTGCCTAATAGAGTGAACTATAATATTCTTCACCAGTAATTCATGCAGTATTTATTCCAGGAACAGGCAATTTAATAAAAAAGTGTGCTAAATACCATGTGCATTAAATGTTTTAATTTGCAGTTAATTAATGCATTTTTGATTACCTTACTTTAATTTACCACAGACTAGACATCTGGCTGCATCACGAAGTGGAACATTTAGCATTGGTATTCCTACTTCTGCTAAATGTGACAGCACCCATCCTGACAACCAGTGACTCCTCTCTGCCCTGCTCAATCAATATCAGCCAGGGACTCTCAACTGACAGGTGAATGTAAACAAAGGAGCCAGGACACAGTCAATGTGGGTATGGTATGAATTTTACCAAAAAACAAATAAGGTTCCCCCCAAATTCCATACCAGATCCTTCTCTGAGCTTGTAGCCTGGCAAACCAGAAAAGGGGGGAAAGTGAGTGTTCACCCCCACTCCTAAACCATACCAGGCCTCATGCCCCCAACATTAGGGGGGTACTTTGCCCGTGGTGGACCCCCTTGCAAAGCACCTTGTCCCCATGTTGATGAGGACAAGGGCCTCTCCAGCACAACTGTGGCCCATTGGTTGTGGGGGTCTGCAAGGGGCTTAGTAGAATCAGAAAGCCCACTCTAACAATAAGGAGGCCCCAAGATACCAGCCCCCCCCCAACCAGTAAAGAATGTGCCCTAAAATAAAAACACCCAGATGTTTGGCAAGTTATAAAAAATTAGTCACATAATCTATATATCCATACAATATTGAGTCCGATCTCATCCTTTACTTATTTCCCCTGTAATTAATTCTTTATTATAACCTTTCTTTAACCACTTGCCCTCCAGAGGATTTAAACCCCTTCCTAACCAGGCCATTTTTTTGCGATACTGCGCTGCATTATTTTAACTGACAATTGCGTGGTCATACAACGCTGCACCCAAATGAAATTTATATCCTTTTTTTCCCTACAAATAGAGCTTTCTGTTGGTGGTATTTGATTGTCTGTGTTTTTTTTTTTTTTTTTTTTTTCCGCTGTAAACAAAAAAGGACCAACAATTTTGAGAAAAAAACTATATTTTTTACTTGTTGCTGTTAAACATGTCCAGTAAAAAAAAAATTAAAAATAAAATTTCGGCATAAATTTAGGCCAAAATGTATTCTGATACATATCTTTGCTAAAAAAATCCCAATATGTGTAAATTAATTGGTTTACATGAAACCAATGTGCTAATGACACTGGGCAGGAAGGGGTTAACATCTGGGACTATCAAATGGTTAACTGTGTGCTGTTTGTGTTTTAATGTGTGCTGTGCTTTACTATGTAAGCTATGCAAAGCCATAGAAAGCAGCATGCTGGAGCTGACAGGGGAGAGATCTGTGTTGTTTACATACAGACCTCTCCCCCGTCAGTGATACTAGGTGATCGCCGGGTGACGGTGGGAAATCACCTTCCAGGACCCGGAGATCAACAGCTGAAGCCGCCAATGGCGTCCCTTCTCGGACATACAAAATCACGTATATATACGTGATTTTTTGCAGCCCTGCCACTCTGTAGCAGTAGTTCTGCTGTAGGGCAGTCGGGAAGTGGTTAATTAACCTTGCCCCTATAAAGTCTGCCTGCTGAAGAAAAACTCCATAATCTGTACAATTTCTTATAAGCCTCCTCAGCTGTCCTTTTGGTATATTCACCAACCAAGAGGCATGGTGACAGCTACGCTGGGGGTTATACCCTTTTCTGTCTGTAGATCTGAAAAATGTTTTAGTGGAACGTCTCCCTTTATTATAAATCCAGGTATTCAATACAGTTATCCTCATTTTCAGTGTCAAAATAATATTTTTGTTATTGTTCATTTTTGTCATGAATACTTATAAACTCTCCTCACTGCCCTCACAGATGAGCAACATGTCATCTATAAATCTTTTGTAACATTTTGGTTGTTTCAGTTTTTTTTTAACACATATTCAGGCTCCCACATTGGCATAAAAATATTAGCCATGCTCCGGGCAAATCTAGCCCTCATGGCGATACTGGTAATCTGTTGATAGTAATGACTCTCACACCAAAAATAGTTGTGTTTCAACCAAAAATCTAAACATTTAATAAGATATCACTTATGTTTCCTAGATAACTTTGAGAACTTTTCAAGGCACCATTTAACAGCCTCGTCAGCCTCTATTAACCACTTCACGACCGCAGATAGCCGAATGACGACTTCTCTGCATCCGACCAGTTCTGGGTGGGCGTCATATGATGTCCTCCCAGAACGCGCTCTCCAGCGTGCCCCCGGGGGCGTGCACTCGGCGATCTCCATGATCGCTGTGTCCTATGGATATGGTAAAAGGCCAGTCACAGTGGCATTTTACCACGTGATCAGCCGTGTCCAATGACACACTGATCACCGGGAAATGCAATTGCCGGTTATCGGCTGCACTTTCTACTAAGAACCGGCAGTTGTCAGAGGAGGGATTGGCACTGATCATCAGGGCACTGATGATCAGTGCCCTGATGATCGGTGTCCAGCAGTGCCACCCACCAGTGCCCAGTAGTGCCTCCCACAAGTGCCCAGCAGTGCCACCCACCTGTGCCCAGCAGTGCCACCCACCAGTGTCCATCAGTGCAGCCCAGCAGTGCCACCCAGAAGTGCCACCCATCAGTGCCCAGCAGTGCCACCCATCAGTGTCCAGCAGTGCCGTCAGTCAGTGCCCATCATCAGTGCCAGCTCATCAGTGCCACCTGTCAGTGCCACCTATCTGTGTCCATCAGTGCCACTTAGCAGTGCTGCCCATAAGTGCTGCCCATCAGTGCCACCTCATCAGTGCCGCCTATCAGTGCCCATCAGTGCAGCCTCATCAACGCACATCAGTGAAGGAGAAAAATTACCTGTTTGCAAAATTTTACAATAGAAACAAAGAAAAACTTTTTTTTCCAAATTTTTTGCTCTTTTTTTTGTTTTATAGCGCAAAAAAAATAAAACACCCAGCAGCAAGTAAATACCATCAAAAGAAAGCTCTATTTGTGTGAAAAAAAATAATTAAAAATTTCATATAAATACAATGTTGCATGACCACGCAATTGCCATTCAAATTGCGACAGCACTGAAAGCTGAAAATTGGCCTGGTAAGGAAGGAGGTATAAGTGCCCGGTAGGCAAGTGGTTTTAATAATAGTGTATAGAGAATTAACGCCTGCCATGGCTAATATGCAATTCTCTCTACATTCCAAACATTTTGAAATTTGCAACAGGTGTTGCATATCTCATAGTTTGGCTTCCATTTTTTGTGTCAGCGGTTGTTTGAAATAATTTATATATCGGTCTAATCACGAACAAATGAAATCCATTCATATGCTGGTTTGACCACCTGGAAACAGGGGGCCAACAGTCGATGAGTGCACACCCAAAAGGTTACTGAAGGTGGAAGACATCACTAATTTGGAAGTTACACAGTGGTGTTGTGGATGTAAAAGATTCCACATGGGAAAGTTGGATGATTAAAACGACTGTGGACATATCACATATTAGCATAATTAGCATAATTAGCATTAGCAAATCACATATTAGCATACTTTTTTTGCACTTATATGATTTAATTTATATATGTGGATGTGGATTGTTATAATTTTCATTTTAGGCTTTCACTAAGTCAAGGGGGAGTTGTATACACTTTTATACAGCCTACTTTACAATTAAAGTGTATGTATAGCCATTTTTCATTTTTGTAGTAAATATTGCCTTTTTGATGTCTGAATCCTATTGAGGAGATTTAATTTAATTACCTGTCTCAGAAAACCTCTCCAAGCAAAGGAGAACTCCCATTTAGGATAACTGTGACCAGAGCAAGTGTCCTCATTGGAAGATTTTTCATCACCTCTTCTCTGGTGAAATCTTTAAAAGTTTGGATTTCCCATTACTTTCTGTCCTGCTTATAATGGTTATCAGGACAAATAGAGGGGAACTCTACCTACTGTTGACACAGACAGCAACAAAAATTGAAAAGTGTTTTAACCCTTCACTACTGTATCCAAAAACAAGAAGAAAATAATTTTTTGGCTATACGTAAACTTTTATTAATTTAAAACATAGAGACTGGAGAATTGAGCACTTTTGGAGGTGTTAGGACTTAAACAGAATCAAATTAATACCAGTACTGTAAACCCATGTTCACTCAGATTAGACAGAGGTTATGTTTTTTTTTAATAAACCCATAACCTGATTTGTTTTTTTAAAAAGGAACACAGCAATTGATTACATTGATATTGTAATGATATCAAACCATCAAAGAACAAAAAATAATAATGAAACAGTTGAGACGGAAATGAAAAGAATGTTGGCCTTTATTTAAGGGTACACCAGATATATATTTGATGGACAATATACACAAGTACTCTTCAAAATCCATTGCAACTATGTTGTAAAAGAAATGGGCCCAAACTCCCCATTGCACAATGTTTTACTTGCTTTAATTACTGATGTAGCCTGTTATGCAATGGATTTATCTGTACTTGGAGGTGAGGACGGCAGAAACCAGAGCAAGGAATTTGTCCCAGGCAGCCTGAACATCAGCAGTGAAGTCACTAGGGAAGTGAACAGCCAAGACCACCTGGATAGTGTAAGACAGCAGCTGTAAAGAGAAATAGAAGATGTATTATTTTTGTGTACATAAACACACCTGTAATATTTAATAAGGACAGTAATGTTCAAACTGCTGTAAATCAAGAATATTAGCTTGCCTGGGATGCGATGTTTACACTTTTTTCTAACTTACTTTTTTTCATAAAGGTACTTCTAAATTAATTTTACATAGAAAAGCTTAATGAAAAGAATGCTTGTAGAAACCAATTAGGCTTTCTCTTTCAGAAAAAAACTAAGACTCAGATTGTTTACTGTTGTTTAATTCTTAATATTAGGTCTAATAGACGTTTCCAGAAAAGTGGAGAAAACTGGAATTATTCTTTAATTTAACTTACTTTTAAGGTTAGAGAGCAAACTGCTTCACTCAAAAGGTATCTAACGAAAGTACCCATTGAAATGTGTTCTTCTCCAAATCAAGGGACGCAATACTACCACACCTTACCTGGCTATTATGTGTATTCTCTGGTTTCAACACATTAAAACTTAGTGACCCAAAACAGTTTTGGATTCACATTTTATTGACGACTCAGAAACCTTGAATGCAGGGAATAATCATGACTGGCTAGGAGCTAATATTTTTAAAGAGGTCAGCAATAACAGCATCTATATTTATGTCATGACAACATCCCTACAAAAAAGCTGTCATCGCATTCTCAGTCTATTTGCCACTTAAAGCATGGCCATTAAAATATTAGCATCAAAACTGAGACCTACACAAGTTTCAATACTATCTAATGCTGCAAACACATTGAAACCTAATGCATTTAGTCCATTGGAATCAAGTTATCTTATTTTTGTATAGGAATATTCAGTAGTACTTACAGCAAAGTTTCCTGGATCCACTCTTAGGTTGTATGCGTGCAGGTCACTGAGGGCGGACAGGTTGCCAGCAAGGTCATCTAGGCTTTTGGCTGCACCTGCAAGAGCATTAATGATCTTGGCACCATGTGTGTTGAGGTCAGCAGAGCCAGGGGACAGGTCAAAGTGGGGGAAATAAGTTTTGGTTTGGGGAAAGCTTAGGAAAAGCCTTAAAGAAAATGAAAGAAAAATAGATATTAATACCTATAAAATGATGTGACATAAATATGCAGTATATATATTTCTGACAAGTTATTATGCTTCTATGGATAATATGGTATATTGTAGAAATAACAAATTATCTGTTAACCTGTAAGTATTTAGTACACAAATCTTTCCTTCCCTTACTGTTTGCATAGACACTGGCAACTGTGTTAAAGTGGTAGTAAAGTCCACTTTCTCACATGTACCTAAAAGTAAGCCTATAATAATGCCTAGGTACAGTGAATTTCTCTTAAATGTGCATTGTTTAGGAGACATTCACTCTTGTAGTGTTACCAGCTCATGCACCTTGTGCTCTGAATGGATGGCACACTTGAGTGTGCCGTCCATTTAAAGCACTGTGCCACAACTGTGACTTCTGTACGCATGCATAGTAGTGACATCATAATGGCCCAGACATTCAAATGACCGGAGAACACAAAGCCTGAAGAAGACCAGATGAAGATAGAAGCCCTGTCATGGTGCCCCATCATTAGTGTCAGTGTGGGAGGAATAGTGCCCCATCATTGGTGTCAGTGGGAGGAATAGTGCCACATCATTGGTGTTAGTGGGAGGAATAGTGTCCTATCATTGGTGTCAGTGGGAGGAAAAGTGCCCCAACATTGGTGTCAGTGAGAGGAAAACTGCCTCATCATTGGTGTCAGTGAGAGGAATAGTTCTCCATCATTGGTGTCAGTGGGAGGAATAGTGCTCCATCATTGGTGTCAGTGGAAGGAATAGTGCCCCATCATTGGTGTCAGTGAAGCCTCTGTCCCTTTCCCAAGGATGTGTCCCTTCCATGGGAAAGGGGGGCAGCGCTGCCGCTGCGCCACCCCCTTGAAAAGTGCCGTTCTAGACAAACGCCTTGTTTGCCTCACTGCAAATACGCCCCTGGCCACTGCAGGTATTCGCTTTACAGGAAAGTCTGTAATAATATGCCAGTATGCTCTTTTTCCAGAGACTTTACTACCTCCTTGCTGTCCTTTAAGAAACGGATCTGAAACAAAATGATCTCCTTGTTTCATGGCTTGATGGAAACTATTTACAGATGAATGCTGTTTAATGCGTAATACATAATATATCAGTAGTAGAAATCACTAATTTACTTACATCTATCTCTTATTTTCATTTAACTTTGAGAAAAATAGCGTACAAAAAGGCTATTTTTATTTTTCTAGAGCGGGGACAGGTTAGAAATTTCATTAATGGTATCTCAGCTTTTTAAAAAGACTATACATATGAATCAGAACTGATGTAATGGTTAAACGTTTGTCAGTTTAACTTGTTACATTAATCTAGGAATTCCTGTGCTGTTACATTACACATCCAGTTGAAATTGCACACACAGAAATCATCCATACAAAAAATAACCAAGAATAAAAGAAACGTACCTGCTCAAAGCCTCAGCACCCAGAGCACCGGCCTGAGGGGCAACCTTGCCAACCAAGGAAACCACGGCAGCCTTCTCACTAGAAGAGAGACTCATTGTGATGATCGGGAGTTGGTACAGTAAGCCTGAGATCAGCTCAAGAAATGTCCATGTTCAACTGAAAATCTTGCCTGTTTTTATAGCATTAGGATACCATTCACAATGGTCAAGCTGCATTCCTATTGGCTGAAAACTGCATACCACCCTTTAGAGCTGACTTATCTTCTCAACCATACATGCTGCATTTGCTGATACAGGGTGAGCATCTTATCACTATATGCTGATTACAAAGCATATACACTCCTTTTGTGTTTTCTGAGCTATTGCTGATCATTGCAATTTAGAGCATTACACATATTTTCTAATGTACTTAATTAGGTAGCATTTCCAAATTGATAAAGATAGTTTTGATTGTTTTAATTAATGTTGTATGTCTTTCCTACCCTTCTGGTGGTCAAGAATACCAGTCAAGTATAGTTTTAACATAAAAAAGTCCAAATATTTCTACACTCTCATAATTGCACCTCACATAATTTTATACCATAAATTATTATTTCAAAAGAGCAACAATATTTTCTTTCTCGTAAGGAACTTTTGTTAGACAATAATGCATGTCCACTAGGAGTTGGCACTCACAGGGCATAACAGGAGCATTTATGCAATAGACTGGGTTCTACTGAAGTCTGATGGTGGTAAAAAAATGCTATTTGTATACATTCTCCTGATCAGCTTTGTGAATGTCCATACACAATGAACTATGGACTAATAACTTTGAGTGTACCCAGGTTCTGTGTGATTGTGCACTATATGCATGTACCACCACTGGACTGGGCTGTACAGTATTAAGGTTATTGAATTACCAATAGTGCAGATAACTGATACAAGCAACTGACTTTCAGTATATTCAGCACATTGTTTTGCATTTCTTAGCTGTCCAGTCCACTTAAGTGTTCAGTCCTCTCTCCACTTTAGCAGCCCAAGGAGTTGAATATCATAACCAATTATAACACACACTGCACAAACATTGTTGACTTTGCTCACTAAAAATCATTATACCACAATGCATTTCTGAAAGATCTTTCAGCAAAAAATTGTTATATAAGATTGTTATATTGGACAATTGTATTAATCAATGTATGGTCAACCACCGCAAAAAAAAAAAAAGCATAAATGAGTTTGGAATGGCAGGTGGAAGGTCCATGCCTATTCACCTGATAAGAAAAAGGAGAAATCATGAACCTGATGAAGATCCTAACTAAATTGACTGAGGGAGTGCACACAGATACCAGTGTCTCCTTAGCACACAGCTAGCTAACGAGACACCTGCAAATGAGGAGACAGGAACAGTGACCTTGGGACTTCGGGGACCTTGGAACATTTTAGAAGAATCCAACAATTGTTCTCACAGATGATTGTAAAATTGATCTGGGATGTGTTAAAGTGTCACTGACCATCAATACTTTTCTGGGTTATTTTAGAGGTGTTTAACTGCTTCCCACTCGCCCCCTGCAAATAAACGGCCAGGTGGGAGCTTCGTCGTTCAGATTGGACATTCAAGAACGTCCTTCAGAACACGAGAACCGCTCGGTAGAAGGGCCCTCTGATTGGCCCTTCTGATCACATGATGGCTGTGTCCAATCACAGCCGTCATGTGATGTCAACAAAGCCGCCATTCAGTTGAATGGCTCTGCCTCTTCTCTCACACAGAGCCCGTGAGTGAGGAGAAGCAAAGCCGATCAGCGAGCACATACAAGCACATCGCCCACACATCACCCTGTCACAGTACCAGTGATCCACATCTGACACAGTACCAGTGATCCACATCTGTGATCCACATCTGTCCCAGTGCCAATGATCCACATCTGTCACAGTGCCAGTGATCCACATCTGTTACCGTACCCGTGATTATTATTATTATTATACAGTATTTATAAAGCGCCAATGGGTCGCTCAGCGCTGTACATTACAAAGGGGGACAGAACATGTGACAGAACAATACCAATACAATGCAAAACATGAGGGGATCGAGGGCCCTGCTCTTTGGAGCTTACAATCTAGGAAGGAGGTGGTAGCATTATAGGTAACATCTTTCACCATACCCATGATCCACATCTGTCACCGTACCCGTGATCCACATCTGTGATCAACATCTGTCACAGTGCCAGTGAGCCACATCAGTCACAATACCTGTGAGCCACGTCTGTCACAGTACCCGTGATCCACATCTGTGATCCAAATCTGTCAAAGTGCCAGTGATCCTCATCTTTCATAGTGCCAGTGAGCCACATCTGTCACAGTACCCAGTGAGCCACATCTGTCACCGTACCCGTGATCCACATCTGTGATCCACATCTGTCACAGTGCCAGTGATCCACATCTGTCACTGTACCCGTGATCCACATCTGTCACAGTATACACGATTCACATCTGTGATCCACATCTGTCACAGTACCCTTGATCCACATCTGTCACAGTACACGTGATCCACATCTGTGATCCACATCTGTCACAGTGCCAGTGATTCACATTTGTCACAGTACCAGTGATCCACATCTGTCACCGTACCCGTGACCCACATCTGTCACAGTACCAGTGATCCACATCTGTCACAGTACCAGTGATCCACATCTGTCACAGTACCAGTGATCCACATCTGTCACAGTGCCAGTGATCCACATCTGTCACCATACCCGTGATCCACATCTGTGATCCACATCTGTCACACAGTATCAGTGATCCACATCCATCACGGTGTACCAGTGGTCATCCACATCTGTACCAGTGATCCACATCTGTACCACTGATCCACATCTGTCATGGTGTACCAGTGTAAAATTCACATCTGCACCAGTGCTCCACATCTCTTACAGTGTACCAGTGTACCATCTCCACTTCTGTACCAGTGATCAACATCTGTCACGGCCTACCAGGGTCAAAGCCACATCTGTCACAGTTTACCAGTGCTCAATATCTGTTAGTGTGCCAGTATCAAATCAACATCTGTACCAGTGATAAACATCTGTACCAGTGAACATCAAAATGTCTAAAAAAAAATTATATACCAGCGAGGAGGCTTTCCAGATACTGAGTATGACGGCCGAGAGTAGCAGGGAATTCTCTCTGTCAGACTCAGATTCTGAGTATAAGCCAATTGAAAGCAGTGGGTCAGCAATGGATTCTGAGGAGTAGAGAGTCCAAACAAAGAGGTTCAGGAGATCTGAGGAGGAGCAGGCATCCACCAGTAGCGCAGTGGGCGAGTACAAGCAGCACAGAACTCCCAGAAGATAGGCAGGCATCCAAGGGTAATTCCATTGTCTTGGGGATCCAGGACCTTCAAAATTGTCATAGGTAGTCAGGAATTGAGATGTGTAATTTATTCCTCCAGAACGCCTGTAGGTCCTACTTGGATGTTGGGCCTCTGTATGTGGCCAGGCTATGGAAATGTCTTACATATGTGGTATCCCCATACTCAGGAGGAGTAGCAGAATGTATTTTGGGGTGTCATTTTTGGTTTGTACATGAAATGTGCTAGAAATATCTTATAAATGGACAACTTTGTGTAAAAAAAAAACTTGTGGAAAAAAATGACATGTTCAAAAGACTCATTATGCCTCTTAGAATGTACATTGGGGTGTTTGCTTTCCAAAATGGGATAATTTTGTGGGTAATTCCATTGTCCTGGTGCTCCAGGACCTTCACAAATCTGATAGGTAGTCAGGAAATAAGATGCGTAATTTATGCCTTCAGAATGGCTGTAGGTGCTACTTGGATGTTGGGCCTCTGGATGTGGCTAGGCTGTGGGAAAGTCTTACACATGTGGTATCCCTATATTCAGGAGGAGCAGCAGAGAATGTGTTTTGGGGTGAAGCTGCAAGTATGCATATGCCGTGTGAGAGGAATAACCTGTTAATATAACAGTTGTGTGAAAATAAAATACATTTTATTTACTTTCTTAATTTTCCAAAGAATTGGGGAAAAAAAATTACAGGTTCAAAAAACTCACAATTCATCCTACTAAATACCTTGGCATTTCTACTTTCCAAAAAGGGGTCATTTGCTGGGTATTTGTACTGTCCTGGCTTGTTAGTTTCTCAAGAAATGAGATAGGCCATCAGTACATCAGGTTTGATCAGGTGTGTTCAATTTTCAATGATTGGTACCATAGCTTGTAGACTCTATAACTTCCACACAGACCAAATAATATACACCGACTGAGATTATTTTTACCAAAGCAATGAAGCAATATACATTTTGGCCCAAATTTATGAAGAAAAATTACTTATTTGCTAAATTTTATAACAGAAACAAAGAAAAAAAAAATTTTTTTTTTCTGTCTTTTTTAATTTACAGCACATAAAATAAAAAAAAAAACCCACTGATAATTAAATACCACCAAAAGAAAGTTCTATTTGTGTGAAAAAAGGAGAAAAATGTCATTTGGGTACAGTGTTGCATGACTGAGTAATTATCATTCAGTGTGTGAGAGCTCTGAAAGCTGAACAGTGCTCTGGACAGGAAGGGGGTAAAAGTGTCCAGTATTGAGGTGGTTAAAGAGCCACTGACCAGCAAAAATTATGGGATTATTTGGGGGTTTTGGGGTTCATCACATCTAGCCATTGCACGTAATGCAATTTCAGTTGAATGCAATTTCATCTCCGTGGAACTTTATTACATTGTTAACAGAAGACTTATATTTAGCTTCAGTGAACAACTTTTAAAGACTAATGCAGGCCATAGATGGGTCGAAAATCGGCCGATTTTTCGGCCGAAAATAAAATTGGCCGATTTTCGGATCGTTAGTGGGCTATTTGTTCGGCCGTTTTTCGGTATTTTGGCAGATTTTTTTTATCGGTAAAGTTGGAAAAAAATCGGCCGATTTTGCCGATTGCCCGATTTTTGCGGCAATGATGGGCGATAAAAAAATCTGCGCATGAGCAGTGACCTGCAAGAGGAAGACAAAAAGAAGAAAAAGAAGAAGAGGAAGAGGAAGAAGAAGAGGATGAAGAAGAAGATGAGGATGATGATGATGATGAAGAAGAAGAGGATGATGATGAAGA